GAGAGAGAGAGAGAGAGAGAGAGAGAGAGAGAGAGAGAGAGCAAAAGAAAAGACAAAACAAAGTTTTAGCTGGGCGTTGGTGGCTCAGGCCTTTAATCCCAGCACTCAGGAGGCAGAGGCAGGTGGATATCTGTGAGTTCGAGGCCAGCCTGGTCTCCAGAGCAAATGCCAGGATAGGCTCCAAAGCTACACAGAGAAACCCTGTCTTGAACCCCCCCAAAAGTTTTATAAATAATTATACTGAAATATCTTGCAAATGTGTTCAACCTGTGGCCCATGGGCTTCTTGTGTCCCAGGACAGGTACAAATGTGGCCCAATATAGTAGTAGACTACAACATCCTATGAGTATCCAAGGGTTGACACCCCTGCAAGTGTCCAACACCAGTGTCACCATATTCCGCTGCACCCCATCCCTACTGCTAACCCCAGCCTTCTTTTGAAGAACCCATCTCAGCTAGTGGGTCTGTGCATGTGTCCTGTCTGGTCCAATGCTACAAGCCCACATCTGATGTTTTCTAGTCAGATAGAAGATGAAGGCATCATTACACATGGCTGATTCCCAGGATGCTGAGGTTGACAAGATAGGTGGCCTTGGAGCAGGTTACTTCACTCTCAACCAAGCCTCTGCTATCCATCTTTAAAGTCTGTCTCCCTCGCTTTCCAAATCATGGTGATGAGCATTTGAGCGAACTGATATCTTCAAGCTCCTACAGCAGGCTCTGATGAAGAGGAAATGAGCCATGAATTCTGGCTCTTACTGTGACTCTTGTGCTGGCAGGCTGTAGAGTTCCTCTCCATGGGGCTGTGTGAGTCCAGAGGGTGAGACTCAGCTACTTTAGTGAGAAGCACTGGATCTACACTGTTTCATGCCACACTCTAGTAAAATGTTGTCATGGTGATTAACAATCTCTCTCTCTCCCTCTCTCCCCTCTCTCTCTCTCTCTCTCTCTCTCTCTCTCTCTCTGTCCATCCCAGCACAAAGCTCGCTCCATACCTAGCAGAGGAAAAATACTAGGTGAGGGGCAGTATCAGTGGAGTGTGCTCTCAGCATGAACAAAGTCCTCAGTCCTCAGACCTCTTAATTTCATATAGTGGTGCTCAACTATAATCCCAGCCCAGAAGCTGAGAGGCAGGAAGTTAGGTTATCCTCATCTTGTCATGAGTTACTTGAGCTACTTGAGACCCCATGTAAAGGAGAAAAGTATGCTGAGATGACTCATTGGGTAAAGGTGGATGCCTTTTTTTTTTTTTTAGATTTTATTTATTTATTATGTATACAACATTCTGCTTCCATGTATATTTGCACACCAGAAGAGGGCACCAGATCTCATAACGGATGGTTGTGAGCCACCATGTGGTTGCTGGGAATTGAACTCAGGACCTCTGGAAGAGCAGTCAGTGCTCTTAACCTCTGAGCCATCTCTCCAGCCCCAAGGTGGATGCCTTTATGACCCAAGTTCCATCTCTGGAACCCAAATGCTGGAAGACTCCCACAAGTTGTCCTCTGACCTCCACAAGCATAGCCTCCCAAATAAATAAATAAATAAATAAATAAATAAATAAATAAATGTAATTCGAACATTTAAAAAATTCTCTGATGGGGTAATGGTAGGTGACTATAAGTCCTCTCTGCTGCTGACTACTGACCCTTTCTTAGCTTCAGAACTCATTCATTCACTGAGTAGAAGAGAGAGCCTGTCCTCACCTTCTGGGGTTGTTTTCAAACCAGGGCTTTTAGCCATGAAGCCAAGACACATGTTTACAGGGTGGAAAATGATCTGCTGTGTGGGCTTAATAAATGTAAACTCAGTTTATCATGCACAGGTTATAAAATATTCACAATCTGATGTGGTGGCCCATGCCTAGAACCCTAGCAGTGGGTGGGAGGATAGTGGAGGCAGGAGGCTCAAGAGACCAAAATTATTGTTAGCTACAGGGCTAGCCTGAGCCACATGTGACACTGTCTCAAGCCCCCTCCAATGCCAATTCTAAAAAAAAAAGAAAAAAAAGAAGGTTTTCAAATAGCGAATTTCCAGTACTTGAGAGGCTGAGACAGGGGGATCTCTGTGAATTTGAGGGCAGCCTGATCTATACAAAGGGTACCAGGACAGCCAGGGCTATCTAGAGAGATGCTGTCTCTAAAATCAACCAACCAAACAAATTAAATAGTAAATTGCACTGAGTCATCTTCAAAGTGTCCTCTGGAGGGTTGGTCACAGCCATCTCCTCTCCTCTTCCGTCCTGTTCTTGTCCATGTCCAGATCCCGCAGCTTTCCATAGACAAAGACGCTTTGCTAACTGCTGACAAAATGCTATTGTCCCTCAAACAGCCACATAGCTACACGGAACTTTTGGCTCTGGAGGCACAAAAGGGTTTTTCTGCCCTTAATGCCCCTCTTTGTTCCTTAGTTGATACTTGCCCTCAGCGTGGGTTCCAGGCTGGACCTTTGGGAAAGAACTCAGTTGCCTTCAGGCATCAAGGAGCTGCTGGATCTATTTAACAGAAGTGTCTGGAGAATTGAATCACTCCTTCATGCTTCAAAAGCCCACCAGCAGAAGCTGAAAAAGCCTCCCAGAACAACTATTGATTTACTGACTTGTAAAACTTTTATGATATTTATTCATATAGTTATTCTTATTTATGTGTGTATGTATGACTGCATGTGTTTATGTGCATCTTGTGTATGTAGGTGAACACTGAGGCCATAGCATATTGGAACTGGAGTCACAGGTGGCTGGGAACCCACCTGATATGGGTGCTGGGAACTGAACCCTGGTTCTCTGTAAGAGCTATCTCTCCAGCAAGCTTTCAAAAAAAATTACACTATTTTAGAGAGAGAAGAAGACAGAGTAGGGAATATGAATTTATGTGGAGATCAGAGGACAATTGTCTGGATTCTTTTGCCATATGGATTCTGGGAATTGAACTCAGGTCTTTAGCCATCTCACTGGCACAATTGGTTGATTTTATTTTGAGACAAGATCTCACTCAGGCTGTAGCTCAGGCTGGCCTGGAACTCACAGCAACCCATCCTGCATTAGCCTAAGTGTGGAGACTATTTTAAAAGATTTGAGCCACAGAGATGGCTCAGTGGGCAAAGGGCTTGCTGTGCAACTATGAGGACCTGCAATCATATAGAAGCTGGGTGCAATAGTGTGTACCTCTAACTCTCAGATGGGGTTAAAGAGACAGGCAGCTCTTCAGGACTCACTGGTCAGTCAGCCTAGTGGAAATGTACTGAGCTCTGGGCGGTAGTGGTGGATGCCTTTAATCCCAGCACTTGGGAGGCAGAGGCAGGTGGATCTCTGTAGGTTCGAGGCCAGCCTGGCCTATAGAGCAAGTTCAAGGATAGCCTCCAGAGCTACAAAACCAAAAAGAAAAGAAAAGAAATGCACTTAGTTCCAGGCTTAGTGAACAATTCTGCCTCAAAATAAGATGGAGCCGCATGTTGGTGGCGCACACCTTTAACCCCATCACTAGGGAGGCAGAGACAGGCAGATCTCTGTGAATTTGAGACCAGCCTGATCTACAAAGCTACACAGAGAAACCCTCTCTGGAAAGACAGGAAAAAAAAGGAGAATAATGGAGGAAGACACTGGCATTGACTTCTGATGTACACACACACACACACACACACACACACACACACACACAGAAAGAGAGAGAGAGAGAGAGAGAGAGAGAGAGAGAGAGAGAGAGAGAGAGAGAATGTGTTTGGATTTTTTAAGCTGGGCATGGTGGCTCATGCAGGTGGCAGGCTGAGGCAGCGAAGATTGCATATTCAAGTCCGTCCAGCTTTGGCTACATAGTGAGAACTTAAAAGGAAAAAGAAACTGGAGGGGGTTGGTGTGCATTGTGTATGTGTATGGTATATGTATATTCAGTGTGGATGTGTACTTGTATGTCTATGAGAAAACTAGAGTTCA